AACGAATTCTTTTTTGGAAGAATGGCGTTTTCGGCTGGCAACCCGGTGGGAGTTTTATTTTCTAGGCTAGGTGGCGCAAGCTGCCGCCCGATATAAAGGGTAGAGCCATTACCATAGCCATCACAATCCAATTCAGGTTTCCGGCCTTTCCGGCCCAGTGGCATTATTGCGCATTATTGTTTTGTTGCGACCGTTTTTGATATGCGGCGTTGTGGCTGTTCATTTCTGCATCGCCACTACAAAGTCCTCTTGAAGATGAGCCAACGTGAGTACTTTTTTTTTCTGCATGCGCGTTTTAAGTTACAGACCCCATTAGGAGAAATTTGCTCGGACGCTCGTTCACCGGCAGACCAGCGGCATCAATACCGAACGTGGTACTCTTTTCGATCGCGTGGTCGTTGCTTGATTTCCTTGTTGCGAATTGTTGCGTGTTCCTTTTCATGTCAAATGCCGTAAACGATTGGTCACCCCTTGGTTGTCATACTGTCGCGCTGCGTGCGAACTCAGAATAGAGCTTTCAAACATGTTTAATAAATCGCTATAGTTTTGGATTCTCGGACGTTTTGAGTACATTTATCACGATCACGAAAAACAGGTCGACTTACAATTGTATAAATACATATTCACCGCGGTAACCATAAAGTTTGTAGATCATGGCAAAAAAGTTTTGGCGTATTTTCTTGGTTTGTTTAAAATTGTAATTTTGTCCTTTTTTTCTAGAGCGAAGCACCAAGTTTAAAGACTCAGTACTCAGTGAGGTGGACTCAAATAATGATTTAATTAGTCTCTGGTGCAAAAAGGGGACTCACAAAACTGATGCATTTTGCGTCCTCTGCAATTCATCAATTTCCTGCGCACAACATGGAGTAGCTGCCATCAAACGTCACGCAGCATTGAAGAAACATGTTGAAGCTGCTGCAAGGCACAGAGATGAAGACGGAAACCTTCAGCCCCCCAAATTGGTGCAAGCCGCATTGGATTTCTCACAAGGTGCTTCTGGCACATCACTCCAAGCCCAAGTGTGGAAAGCGGAATCAATTTTCGCTATGTCCGTTGTTTCAAAGTCTATCCCTTTCTCGTGGGGAGACAGTGCTACGGGAATGTATGAGTGTATGTTCCCGGACAGCGAGTTTGCTAAGAAGTTTAGCTGCAGCAGGTCCAAGTTATCACGCGTCGTGTCCGATGGACTCGGCCCTTACTTCAAGTCCAGAGTTGTGAGTGAGCAAATGTTTTCTTCTCCGTGATGATCGACGAAACCCCAAAGCCAGAGAAAAGAACGCAGCAACTGGATGTGCTTGTTAGGTACTTTTCTAACAGCCAGCAACAGGTTGTCGTTGAGCATGTGCAATTGTACAACCTCGGGCGTGCCACCGCGGAAGTAATTGTGGGCTGCGTAGAAGACGCGCTGACTGAGCTACCAAAGAGAGGGCTTGTTTGTTTTTTCAGTGACGGGCCTAACGTCATGAAAAGCGTGAGGAACAAGCTCCAAAAGGATATGCCATCAAGTTTGGTTGACATCAACAACTGCAACCTTCACAAAGTCCACAATGCTTTTGCAAAAGGTCTCGATGCGTTTGGCTCGGATATTGAGGAGGTCGTCCGAAACGTCTACTACTACTTCAAAAGCGCTGTTCGTGCTGAAGCCCTCGGAGAATGTCAGGAGGCTCTAGGGATTGCTTCTCATGTGTTTCTGCGTCATGTCTCCAATCGCTGGCTCACACTTCAAGATTCACTGTGTCGTGTCCTAGAACAATTCGAAGCGCTGAAGTCATACTTTCACAAGGCAAGCATGACAAAGCAGCGAGTGAACACTCAGATTCTTCACAGCAAGCTTGCTGCAGCATTTTCAAAGAAAGACCTTTATGCCAAGGTGTTGTTCTTGAAGAACTGTGCCGAGCTTTTTTCTCGGCTTCAGACACTGTTTCAGAAGCAAGAGCCCCTGCTACACATACTCCACGCGGAGTTGCTGTCTCTAGTCCAGCGAATCCTCAGCCGTTGTTTGAGGAGTGCAGCCTATGTGGACAAGAGTGCGGAGGAACTGAAGAAACTTGATGTGCAGGACTCTACCCTGTGGATAACCAAACCAGAAGTGGGTATGGACACTGAGCAGGCAATGCTGAAATGGGATCCAGGTGAAAAGAAGCGGTTACTTCTTGGGGCCCGTGCCTTCTACTTGGCTTGCTCGAAAGACCTCCTGCAGAAGCTGCCTCTTGACAATAAAGTCCTTCAGCACACAAGTCTCTTGGGATTGCAGCCCAGCGACGTGGAGTCAGAAGTCCGATCCTTGCGATACCTTGCTTCCCAGCTGCCTCAAGTGCTTGAGAGCGACCACGTGTCATCACTGGTCGATGAGTGGCATCTGCTGAAATGTGACTCTGCTAACAGTCTTCAATTGATGGAAGATGGACGGATCGACACTTGTTGGGCTACAGTATTTCAACAAAAGTGCGCAGCTGGTCAGCAGATGTACCCTCTGTTGTCAAGGCTAGTAAAGGCGCTGCTCTCTCTACCTCATGGCAACGCGGACTGTGAGCGAGGCTTCAGTGAGAATAAGCATCTCCTTGAAGGCCGAGCCTCATTGTGCATTGCGAGCATCAACGGATTGCGGCAAGTGAAGACCTACCTGCAGAGGTATGATGGAGATGCCACAAAGGTGCCCCTGTCACCAGACCTTCTGCGAAGCGTCAAAAGAGCAAGAGCCCGGTACGAGGAAGGAATTGGAAGCAGAGAGGCCGACATGAAGAGAAAGAAGCCTGACAGCGCACAAGTTGATGCTGACAACTCGCATGACAAGCGCTTAAAAAGCAGTTGGAGGAAAGGGTGATCTCGTGCCGTGTGTTGCTGAAGAGGGCGGAAGAGACCATTGGTGCAGGACTGAAGTGCCAAAGCTTGGAAAAAGTAGAAGGTGGCCAAACTATGTTAGCTGAAGCCAATGCTACTTTGTCACGCACTCTTTGCGAGCTGGATGAACTGAAAAAGAAATGCAAAAAGCATTGAGTCAATATTTTTTTTTTTCACCTGTGATATATAGCCTACAGTCAAAAGGCAAGAAGTATTAAGCAATATTTTAGTTTTCATCTGTGATATTTTGTTACATAGTTAAGCTTTAGCTGCAAGAATGTTCTGTCATAAATAAAATGGTTTTCTTATGATGAGTTCTTTTCTTTGTAAATTACTATATGAAATTCAGATGTTCGTGACACACACACATATATATATATATATATATATATATATATATATATATATATATATATATATATATATATATATATATATATATATATAGGGGGTGAGGTAAGATTGACAAGGGCAGCCGTAATATATATATAATAATAAAGACATGGCACAGAACTGCTCTATGTTCATGCTGCTCCAAAATGTTTAGTTTTCCTGATACCAAGTTGCTCCAAAACAAGGTTTTCCGTGCTCCAAAAGGGGAGTTTATGTGATACGAATTGCTCCAAAATTGGGTTTTTCTTGCTCCAAAAATTGCTCCAAAACCTAAAATGGCTGGACCACCACTGCGCTTGTCATACCCTCAGTTCTAGCCATCAAAACACTTGGCATGTGCGAATAGTGGATTGTGAGTTTGAAATGAATTCAAACCGAATGGGGGTTTTGGTTGAATATTTTCTAATAAAATATTGAATAGTTTCTCCGAGCCTTTCACTATTGTGCTACACTTAAATGAAAACCCAGTTATACTCGAGAAGGTTGTCCCCAATTTCTAAGCTAAGTTAATTTTAATTTATCTATACTTGTGAACTGTGGGTTCTGAAAGACAAGCGCCCACATTGGGATGGCAAGTAAATTATGCATATGACATAAAATTAGACTTATAGAAATGCCCAGCTATACCTAACCGGGATTTATATACGCAAATATTCTTCCTTAAATCTTGAATTTAAAAAAAGTAAAAAAAAGATGATCATCAAGGATGAACGCAGATTCACTGGACGTTGCTGCATAATAGCCGCAGTTCAATTTAGAAAATTTTTATATTAACGTAGATATCAACATTCACAAAGTTTGTTTCTTTTCAAATGCACCAGGTATGCATGTGTATGTACCAGGCCACTTTGAAAGTGTGTTTTTATCCCAAATGCATGACTGCAAAATTTTTACTTTTTGAAGTGTTGAGCGCGGTGGGTTAGCCCTGTTGAACGTGCTTCTTGCCGAGCACCCGTGCACTGCAGAGACACACATGGGCCAGTTGGGAAACCAGAAGTATGAAAAGTGGAGCAGCGCATTCCTCCGACAAGTCGGGAACATATGTTTCCGACAAGCATCGGCACAGCCATTGCTGTTTACATTCGGTCGAATAATGAAGATGGCAGCAACGAGATTTTTTTTCTTTTTTGGTAGCTGAAAACAGCATTTCGCTAGCCCATCTGTTGGCAACTGCGTAGGCACGTGACGACGCCGCCGGCCGCCCGCTGCCATTTCGCCGTCTGCCACGTGCACGCCGAGATCACTCGCGCCTCGTCTACTTTTGTTTGGCCTGTTGGAAAAATGCCGCCTGCCGTTAAAAAGCTTAAGTTTGTGACGCTTCAGGAGAAGTCTGCAATCATCGCCGAAGCTGCAAAAGGCAGAAAGAGGTCGGATATTGCGGAGGAGTTCAGTATCCCGTGCAGCTGACTTTCTAGGATTCTGAAATCCAAGGACAGCTTCAATTTTGGTTCTGGAAAGTAATAAATGTGCTTGTTTGTCCATTTTTGCGATAGCGAAATTCTCACGAGAACGAAAAAAATTGCCTTCCCCGACGGTTTCGTTATTGCGGGGTTCGACTGTGTTTGAATATTTGCTCAATCCTATGAAACAGCATACCTACACGACCTTGCACCTGGCCAAGTCCTACACTGATGTCCAGGAGGAAGTGACCGTCTTTCATGACCGATCGGCAAGGAGGTTTCTCCCAGCCACTGGCAGTGTCTGCCGCCTTTTGGGCATCCAAGCACAGGCCAAGTTGTGAGAATGGCACCTCCCTGTGGTTGCAGGCAACTGACGCAGGCTCAGCACCGGCACCTGGAAGTGGCTGCCGCCCTGCTGGACCTGTCCTCGGCCAGCGTCCTGCCGGCCCTGGACGCCTGTCCTGCAGCCAGCAACTCCAGGCACTGCTTCCTCGTCATCCTGGCAGCCTATGCGTAAGGGGGTCCCAGGGTCTGGCCTGTCTAGCCAACCTGCGGTCATACTCTCTGTCTCGTCCTTTAAAGACATCAATTTTCCGCTTTTTACGGGCTAACTCCGGAAATTATTCTGTATCACCCATAGAACAAAGAAGAGAAAAACACTTTTTCTTACATGCGCTATTTTTTATTTTAAATAATGAAACAAATCGAGCATCTTTTGAGTGATGTCGCCAGGTGTACGACCGGGTTTCCCACTGAGTTCTGTAGACGTTTCAAGGATTAGTACAGTGTAGACCGCATATAACGTATGTCGCGGGAGTTGCGAAAATCCGCACTATAAGCGGTACCGCGCTATAACCGAAACATCACTTTTTCAGGCCAAAATACATGCCATGAGACAACTTACCTTTGTAAAACAATTTATTTTGTGTTAGATGAAAAATAAAGCTTAGTTTGAGGAAAGTCTATTTCACCAAACTAGTACACTTCTCTCTCAAGTGTGTCACACATTTTGAAAGAAATGAGTGACTTTTGCCTGGCGTGGCCTTTTAATGGCGTCGCGGGTTGCCGACGGACATTGCGAGCGTTCAGGATTGCTAACCCTAATAACTTTTCTCCGGCGATGAAAACGCGTGAAAATTCGCATCCTTTATATGGTACGCGCCAGTAATACCTTCAACTTGAGCACAGGCATGAAATGCTTCAAATAAGAAATCCGGGCGATGTTCGAAAACACAAATGCTTAGAAAGCACCACTGTAGTTGAAGTAAACAAACACAACGACACGGGCGTTTCCGCCATCTTGAGAGTGCCGCCACGACATCGCCGCACGAGTAGGTGGATCTTCCCTTCTAGTATGTGCTGGGTTATCATGGCGACACACAACGACAATTCACAGTAAAGGATAGCGCTTTTACGCGGAACGATGAGCTTCCACCACGCCGTCTCGTCAACGATCACAACCGACGCCATGTTTGCGGATAGAAGCAGCCGGCTGGCGACCAGCATGCAATGCGCGCGAACACTTCTCCTCGACCTGCGATTGGTCTGTCGTTGCTGTTGTTTCCAACGCAGCGGAGGGACGCACGCACGTGAAGGACACATGCGTGCCTTCCTCCGCCGCTATGGCAACTGAAGCCTCTCTCTTCGCTTCTCCCCGCTTCTTCGAGCCTTCGAGCAACTTCCTTGCCCCGCGAGTGCTGCTTGCGGCCATTGCGGCTCGCGCTGTTATCTAGTGTCGCACAGGGAAGCGTGCTCGCTGTGCCGGTCAATTGGCGCGCTGTTCCAAAAACCGCACTATAACCGGTATTTCCCTTCGCACGCTTGCATTTTAAGCGGTATGTAAATACATGGAGTTCTATGGGAAGCGAACCGGTGGTTTAAAAAAGCCACCTTATACCCGGTCCTGCACTATAAGTGGTTACGTTGTAAGTGGTCTATACTGTATCTTGCAAAGTTGTGGCGAGCGGTCAACACAGCATACTGCTCGCCATAAGGCAGACAGTGAGTGTAGCAGCGGGGGGGATTGGTTTTGGTGGTTTCACTGTACGTGGGGCAGGCAAAATCGGCTCGAATTATTCAAAGATTGAATTAAAGATTTATGGCAAATTGCTAGGCAATCCTTTTATACGTGCAACATTCTAGTATCTCAAACGTTTAGCTATACAGTAATCCCTCATTATAACTAAGTCAACGGGACTGCAAAAAAATTTGATATAAGCGGTGATTCAATAAAAGTGATAGAGCCAAAAAAACGGTGCCACCAACCTCGAAGCTGGACAGGTCCACTGCTGAACACTCTGACCGTATGTTTAATCGAACGAACCTGAGTTATGAACATGCCACGGCAGCTTTACCGAGTAAAAGAATAATTAAGTGGAGTTTGCCGATAATTTCATCCTGGCATCAATTCTCCTCGAAATGCTCCAGATATCCCAAGAACACTGTCACTGCTGCTGCACTCTGTTTGTTTTGAAGCAGCCGTAGGATGTTTCGCGTGTCCACAGTCCTCGGCGTTTCCCTAGGTGCCTCTCCGACGTCGCTTCGTGTTTACCCTGGCCGCAGGCAAGGTCTATGCTCGCAGCATCCGTGGCGGGAGCAACAATGAGAACGTCAGCAGCGACAAGCGCGAATGAATCAAAGTTATCCTTGGTGGCTTTGCCAAACTGTTTTCACACACTTTTATAGAGATTGTTGCAGCTATGGAAATTGTGCGTCGGCTCGGCAAGCTTGCTTGCGAGAGAAAATCCGACCTGCGCTAGGCAGTTACCAATCTTTCATCTTCGTGTCGTGGGCTTGCTTTCTGCTGCGTGAGACACTTCTCGAAGTCGTCACCTTGCTTGTTCCGCAAAATGGTCGACGGTGTCGAACAGCCGATGCCGGAATGTTAGTTCTTTGGCGCTTTCGGACTTGGGCCGGCCACTTTTCTCAACCTCGCAGATCTAAGTGGCTTTCGGTAAACACTCCCGATCTCCCATAAGACGCACGTGTACACGTAGTATACCCCAGGCGCGCCCGCGCTGGCGTGTGTCGTGGGCTCCCGAAGGGATGATCAGTTCCGGGCTTCATTGCTTCCTTCACCCAATTCCGACAGGAGTTGGGTAGCGTTGGTCACGGGCGCCGATAAAACTCGAGCAGTCGGACTCGGAAGTGTTGCCGCGTCGCCCCGACCAAGGTGAGGGTTAGCTGCTGCGGATTAACTTTTCTTCTTTGAAGCTTTCCGCTTGCCCTTTTAGCAATTTCCTTTGAACTTGTGTGTCGTCCAAAACTTCCAAGCTCGAAAGTCGCGTTTTCGGTCGACGTCCATGGGGAAGAAAGCAGAATGATTGAGCAAGTTGTTGGTTCTGGTTTCAGGAGCAGTGTGACGCTAAAACAGCAAGCAAGCTTTGCCGCGCAGCACGTTGCTCTTGGCCAGTGGCGGGGCCACAATCGCATCACGTGATTCAAAAGGCCGGTGGCGACGCACATTTGTAGTGGGAAAAGCATCTATTTCTTATTATTTGTAACCAGAATACGAAACAATCGACGACAGTTTCGGAGTGAAAACGGTTAGGCCTATGCGCCGAAATAGACGCGCTGGCGGGGGACGCCGCGATCCAGAGAATTACGCGCTCGAAAATGGCTCAAATTTCTGTTGTTTTCCAACGCGAGAAGGGCTTCAAACTCATATCTGACTAATTTCGCGATGATATCCGGTCTAGATTCTTTTATACGCAAAAAAAAGGAAGGTTCAAAGATAATAAAACACTAGAAACGGAAAATAACTTTTTTTTTAAAAAGAATCGCCGTTTTTCGACTTGTATCTTTCCTTAATACTAGTGGTTTCTCGAATAAAGCAGTACTACCGCTAATCGGGCTAATAAACCTGGTGATGTTCCAGAACCTTCCATACCGCAGATTTGAACTTCAGTGTCCAGAGTGGAGAAGCTTTCATGTACAAAGCTTTATAGCCAGAGTAGTTGAATTCTATGCCTCGCGAAACAAAGAATCGACGTAATTAGCTTCGAAAAATTAGTAGCTGTTACGTGCTAGTATTTACAGTAGACCCTCAATATACTAGTGAACCTGCATTTAGTATACCTGCTAAGCCTCCCATATTATTTGAGAGATTTCCGAATTTTGACCATTTCGTACGGTTGTATGATTGACCGAAAAAGGTCCCGAGAAACGTAAATTAACCCCCCTCCCTGTCTCCGCACACAAACAAGGAGTTTTTGCCATTGCAACTGACAACAATGATGATAGCGAGGCCCAGCTGCATCTCGCTGGCACGAGCGGTGCAGTACAAATATAATGAAGTTGTTTTTCTGTAAATTCATAGTCAATTTTTCTTTAAAAAAAAACAAAACAAAAAAACTTTAGCCTAAAAGATTTTTGGGATTTGGATTTTCCGAATTTGGCAGGTATGTATGTAGTGGAGATGGGGACGTAACGAAACAAAACTGTGAATTGAAGTGTAGTACACGGTGTAATAAAACTTTGCGAGAGAATGTTGTGAGGAATGTGCAGTGATGACGACCTGAAGGGAACCGCCATGGCTGACAGGTAAGAAAGTAAAGAATCAAACTTGAGGTTGGTTCCCGCGTCGTGTCTAGCATAGTGGCACAGAAGATGGGGGTGTGTGTTGATTGCGAGAAACTTTGGAGATAAACGAACGTCTGAGATGCACGGTGGTGTTGCCTTTTGGGGGGACCCGTTTCAGAACGCTGCAGCACGACGGAAGGTTCAACGAAGGAGTCACCCAGGCTCTGGCTAGGCTGCTGCTGGAGTGCTCAAAGGTGAGGCTTGCTCCGCCCCCTTGCGTCTGCCGCCCACCAAGATTATGAGTACGCAAAACTTTAGATGGCCAAGGCTGGCTGCAGTACCAGTGGTAGAAGTACTGTGCCATTTGCACCAAGTCGCGCCATGGACAAAAGTCTGCTACATCTTGTGCCAAAGTGTCGTTTTACAGCAGAGCTGTTAAAGGGGTACTCCGCCGATTTTTGAGCTACCTCAACTAACTATATTTTCTGACTCCCAGGCCTTTACCCTTTCTGGTATGCTATTTAGTATCGTGAAATTCATAATAGTTATTGCGAAATCGGCAAATGAAAATGATGCAAAAACAGACATTCAAATATACCCGCCCTTTTCAGGGCCGTGACGTCAGTGGAGGTTCAGCTTGCCAGTCGGGCGCGCAGTCTAAAAAATAGAATATGCCAATCATTTGTTCCGTGTTGGAGCGCGGGGACTGGAGCGAGCTTCCAAAGCATTCATTTGACACCATGAAACTGCTTCGAATCAGTTGGGAACAAATTCTACAGTCCAAAGTGTGAACCCCTGCACTTCCAATGACGTCACTTTTTCATTGTTGCCAGTAGAGACTTTCAGTTTGAAAAACACGGTGAGGACCAAAATTGTAAATTCAATAACTTCGTGAAAAAAAAATTATTTTGACCTAATATTGGGGATACTATTTTGGCGATGTTGTTTGGCGAGTTTAGCAAAATTTTAAGCAAATCGGGGACCATGAAGAAATCGGCGGAGTTCCCCTTTAAGGGCTAGGTTCCCCAGGATCGTGTCCGGTACCAAAGAAATGTCGACACAAACCTACACGAACCTCTGCACAACTCGCCATCTATAAGCGACGGCGGCAACCAGGCAACCAGTCTGGTTACTGCCATTACTCATAGATGGCGGCAACCTTTCCAGCTATCATAGAAGAATGGATAGTTGGGCGAGTTGGTGGGAATTTATCGCAGGACACAGCGCGAAAAACAGATGAGGACGAAAAAGAAACACGTGACGAGCGCAGCACACGTCACGTGTGTTTCTTCTTAGTCCTCGTCTGTTTCGCGCGCTGTTTCCTGGCTCTTATCAGTTTGGGTTTGGACTCACAATGTGTCGGCCGCGTGCCCTTTCGGGGAAAGAAGACTGGGTGCGGAAGGAGCGGCGACGTATGCAGCAGCGCAAATCAGTCTGCAATCGGCGCGCGCGTTGAGCGCTTCAGATTTTTTCGCGAAAGAAGTGCAGATCGCTCGCCTGAAAAGCCACTGCCGAGAAAAGAAGCTACAGCGCCGCTGCTCTTCCTTCTTCACCAGAGTGGAAAGGCTGAAAGTTTTTTGGCCAAGAATTCTGCCACATCTGGGCCAAAATAAGTAGGGGTGTGCAAATACTCGAATATACGAACTTGAATCCAATAGAAAGTTCCCGAACAATTTGATTCGTGAATCAAATTCCTAGTGTTTGGACATTGGAATATTCGACATATTCAGTCAAAGACGCGCGGTCGGTGCGGAGCTGACAAAAAAGCCATCTTTTTTCCCGATGTAAGTGCCGTGATGTTAAACAGACCATGCGAGAAACACCTCTTGGTCCTACCATTGCACAAAAATCTAACGGACAGGTGAGAAAAAAAGAAAAGTAATGAACGCCACAAACTTTACAGCACGCAGATTTACTCACGATCGTGACACAATCTACCCTTGAATCACAACCGAAACATCTCGTTTGCACCGCTTCCAGAGAGGAATTATTGGGAGGCCAAAATTCCGCACCATGCCTAATTCTTTTCACGAGTAAAGCCCCTCGTTTCAAATTGAAGCGCCGATGTAGAACACACTTGCCACACTCACAGAAATCGGCGACTGCACGATCAAAGAAAGAAAACAACGTTAACCATGCCGATGAAACCAGCTGAGTTGTCGTCGTCATTCTTGCGGAACTGCTAGCCGCAAATTCTGATTCGGAACAAAACGGAACGGAAAAATAGTGTGCCTAGATTTGAGAGGGTTTCCAACTGTTCGATAACCGCGTTTGAATTACGAACTGCGAAAAGGTGACGAAAAGACAAAAGCGTCGATCGGGATCGGGCAAGCAGGGCAGGCGTCGTCGCTCTTCCGTTTGCTCGCCTTCTTTCCACGCGACAACACAACACATGCGCACTTACGACCGATCTGCGCTGGAGCCGTCTCCGTGGTTTCAGATTCGCTTGCTCCCTCTCTTAAATCGAGGCTCTCTAAAACAGGATAGATGGACGGAAAAATGGATGCATAGTGGCAGTTGGACAGTGACTTGCGTTGCCTAACCACATTTTTTTTCTTACTTCAGATTATATTGTTTAAGCCTGTTTACTCAAATTTAACACCTATCTGTTTATTTATGCGAAATAAAATCCGAGTGCCCTTTATCTTTCTTAAATCGGAGACCAAATATCGCAAAATGCCCCTTTTCTGAGAAATAAAAGTATTTAAAAAAAAAGTCTCGGTGTTAGGTTGTGCTTTTAACGAGAAAAAAAGGCACGCTTGACTGTAACTTTGGTTTTTTTGTGACGTCTAGGGTATATAGTATGGTGCACCGCGCATTCGCAAGGGCGCCCATCAAACCACTCTGCCATCTTGACCGCGAGGCAGCTATGCAGTTGCCTCGCCCCAGACACGATCACATTATCGTGTCGCCGCGGGGTTGATCGGGATCTTGAATTCGGCTTCCGACGTGCCACTTTCTCTCCTAGCCACTAGATGGTGCTGCAGGCGCCCCATGGCGGGCAAGGGGCGCCTGTTCCCTACCCCCATCAAGGCTAGATGATATTTATCAAAAAGCCTCGACATAACCCTTTCATCAATAAAAAAACGTTTAACCACCACCAAGGAGAAACCTCCTCGTCCATCGATTGAGATATATTCGGTAGACAGGGGGCAAAAAGTCTCTTTGAACAACGGACGCCATCGAGCCCAGGCAAGTCTGTGGCGACCAAATCTAGGGTAATCGCGGGAACGAGGCCTGGGGGCCCTCTTTGTGTTTAGCTTTGGGCTTAACGTGCACTTGTAAATATTTGTGTAATGTCGCGTGTATTTGTAGCTTAGACTGAGTGTTTTGTAGCGTTGTATTTTTTGTACCATTAAACGGGGAGCGGAATCCCGCTCCGCTGAAAGAACCATGCTGGACTCGGGTTGTTGACGGACCACGTGGGAAGTGGCGCATTGGCGGCGGTACGCGATTTCCTACAAATGGCGCATCAGCGTTGGGGCAGGTGAGCCGTAATTACGGTCGCAACGTCCGTCGACGACACTGCGTGAAAGTTCACGAGGAGCGGTCCCCCTTGTTGGCGGGTCTATACCGCAGCACTGCGAAGGTGGGAGGGGTACGTCCAAACAAGCGTTCGAGACGGCCGTGGGTAATTTCGCCCTCGTGGATTTAATGTTTTTGGCCGATGTCGCGACGTCGACGGGGCTGGCGGAGCGGAACACCGCGGCGATGACCGCAGCGCTGAGTCCAGACATACCGACGGCGCGCCATACTCCCCTCTCCTAAAAATCAAAGTCGCTGCCGCTGCACTCCAGTTTGTTTGGAAGCAGCCATAGGCATTTCCTGAATTTCCTCTCCAATGTTGCTTCGTGTTTACCCTGTCCGCACGCAAAGTCTACAATTGCAGCACCTGTGGCAGGAGCAGCAACAGGAACGTCTGGGATGACAAGTGCGAACGAATCGAAGCTATCCTCAATGGCTTTGCCAACATGTTTTCACACACCCCTGTAGTTCTGGGAATCGTGCGCCAACTCGGCAAGCATGCTTGCGAGAGAAAATTCGACGGTTGCAAAGCAGTTGGCGATCTTTCATCTTTGGGTCGCGGGTGCGCTTTCTCTTGCACGAGAAACTTCTCGAACCCGTCCAATATGCCTCGCTTGTTCTGCAAAATAATGGACAATGTCAAGCAGCCGATGCCGGAAAGTTGAATTCTTTGTCACTTTTGGACTTGGGCCAGCCACTTTTCTCAACCTCGCAGATGTAATTGAGTTTCGGTAAACGCTCCCAATCTTCCATCTGATGCACGTGTGCGTGTAGTACGCCACAGGCGCGCGCGTTGGAAGCACTCGAAGGGACGATCTCCTCCCGGCTCCATCGCTCCCTTGACCCGTTTTGACAGAAGCCAAGAAGCGTTGGCTGCGGGCGTCATGAGTAGTGTCGGAATGTGGACGCTGCTCCCTGCCCGCGTCCCCGCGTAAGCGTATCGGCATCGGCGCCGTGTGTGCTCTGCCCTCCATTGCCCGTTTACCGTGCTTCATTTTCTTGTTTGCTGTTTTCCCAGTTTGCCCTTTGCCTCGGCGGAAGGGGGAGGGAGTGCGGGGGTCTCTGTGCGCTCTGTGGACGCTTGCGCGCTTTCGGCACCACGGCCTTCGTAATAAGCTTGGTCGGCCGCCAATACACTTAGAATAATCCGGTTAACAATGTGTGGATTTTGGTTGGGACCACGTTAAACTTCGATAAAACTAATAATTCGAAAGGAGTGATTTCATTATGACGGGGGATTGCTGTATTGGAGAAACATTCCACTTTTTGTGATGTCTGTTTTTTTTTATGACAATAAAAGATAATCGCTTTACATAATTCATTTTGTCATCATCGTAATGGCCCAATGCATTGCTCTCCCTGTGAAGAGTGTTCCCTGCAACTTTCCTCACCCACTGGGGGTCCCCGAAATGTGGACTGTCAGGAACGGCCGTTGCAGTTGGTCGACCCAGGTTGCGGTGCCCCTTTCAGGGTCCCAGGAGGGGGTGGGTTCGATTCACGGTGGACGGGCGAACCTTCGCGGCTCCGGAGTTTGCGAGGCGCTTCCTGGGGAGCGGCTACGACTCGGTGCGGAGCCTGGCGGCCGAGCAGGTGGCGCTGCTGCTGGAGGGCAGGGACCCTGCCAGCCTCCAGTCCCTCCTGCCGCTCCTCACGCCCCACCTGGACGTAGACGTGAGTTTGTGCAGCTTGTAGGCAATAGGGGGCATTTAGCTGAACACTGTTCAAAGACAAAAAAGAAAATACAGTGCACAACTAACGGCTCTACGCCGCTGGCCCTATACAAAGAAAAGTTGAAAAATCTCCACTGACCCCTGAGCTATACAGTGCTGTGAGAGTTGCGCGTTTGCCGGAGCAATGGACCGCGTCCCTTTCATCGTCTGAACCCGCTTCTGTGCGTGCGTATGGACGGAGGCGCAATCCTGTGTCTAAAGATAGACATACATAGGACTGGTCCGACAAGCACATAGCTACCGTACTGTCAGCTTAGGAATGAAAAGAGTATGGTCCTTCCCGAAAAGAAACTCGTGAGCCTGTCGCAGAATAGCCCGGAGAGCGATACACCAATGGAATGAAAGAAGTATGGTCCTTCCTGAGAAGGAATTCGCGAGGCCGTCACAGAATAACCCTAAAAGCGACCCACTGATCCGAGTCAAGCGAGAGCAACTGCCCCTTTTGGTGCTCATTTTCTGCCAGTGTGAGCAATCCCGGTTGTTCAGGTCTGGGGCGCTTAGATGCTTAGCTTGCGAGAAAGATGCAAAGAAGTTAGAAGAACATTGGAAGGGAAACGAAGGAAAGGAGTGAAATCTTCCGCCGGGAAGCATTTATTTGTGCGTGGCGTCGGGCTTTAAGAGAAACCCGCTAAAATGCCAGCACCGGTTCTTATGAGCAGTTTCGGCAGCATTGCCCGAGGACTGTCTTTCCAGTCTAATGTTTTTGTGTCCGTCGCCCCGCAGCCGTCGAAAGAAGACGAGCGCCAGGCAGGCTGCCTGGTGTTTGCGGTGGCCCTGGCCAGTGCAGGCATTGCACTGGGACCCTCGGTCGGAGGCTGCGCCGTCCACGCCCTGGTGGAGGCGGTCAGGGACCGCTCTGTGCCGTACGACATGGTTGCCAAGGTGCGTTCTGCACCCTCATTTGGTGTCTTGGGGGGCATGCGTGAACGACGGTTTTTACCAGAAAACGGTGTCGTGTTTCCGCGTTGTTTTGTTGTAGATTACTCGTCTTTTATGAAGGCTATGATCCGCTAATTAAAAGGGACCATCAAATGGTAATATATGTTCCTTTAATAAGTTACCTCCTCTCGAGTCTGCCCGTTCCTCTCGCGAGGCATTGCGAAGACCTCGTCCCGCGATCCATGCATGCGCGTGACGAGACAAGGAGGTTACATAAAAACTATCGCTTCGTGGGTCTGGCTCTTGGCGCAGAAGTTGAGCATCGGGATTGCAATCTGGGGGTTTCAATTTCCCCTGCGGACATTTGGAAATTTATTCTCAATTTATCCACTCATCACTCTCTCGCGTGTGCACATTCGTGTTACTAATACGTACAAGCTTTTCTGGGGAGGCTGCCGAAAGAAATATTGATGGTTTTCAAATATGGCCGTCATCTTTTCTACAGACCGGGAAGGTTTACATAATTGCAATACTGACGAGACGCTGTGGTGCCATTGGTTGTGTGTACGGCACCTGGAATGCTTCCCCAGCCAGTGTGCATTCTATGCCTCCTGCATATTGGGCCGTTTGGCAGATGGGAAAAAGCGAAGCACGGTAGAAAACCTCCGGAAAAAACATCAGGTGGAGGACGAAGAAGACGGGAAGGAAGTTAAACTTACGCCGAAATTTTCTAGGCTTTTGTTAAATTTCAGGCTTTAGGTTCGATGGTAGTGCATTCTTTTCTAAAGAAAAGTGTGCGTTGGAATTCTGCAAATATGGTTCCTGCACAGCCAAATATATGCAACCTCACTGCCCGCACGCGTGACATTAATTAAAGCCTGGTCATTATCGAGAACTATAAAACAACAAAAACTTTTTAATTTGTCTTTCCTTCCTCCTTTTTTGCGTGTTTCTGCCCGAACAGTCAGACGAATGTGCTCCGAGGCCTAATGCCCAAAAAACTCTGCATCCTGTTTTTTTCGCAACACCGAAGTCTGGACTGCTTTATGATTCACCCCCTGCGTTAACTTGTCATCGTGCTTGATCCGTAGAGTGGTGGAGCTTTGGTAACACCGAAGCCTGGTTGACTGTGGCGGTCCATACTTCTTGCTCCGTGAAAGCACATCCATTTCCAGGCACTCGGGCTTTCCCCGGACTGTCCCGGCAGGGCCTGGGGTGGCGCCCACGTGGCTTACGTCGTCCACCGCTGGCTGAGGCAGGGGCGGCCACTCCAGAACCTTCCCTTCCAAGCCCTGGGCCGCGCCTCAGCAAAGCAGTTCCTCGAGTGAGCCCATTTCTCTACCACGTCGCCACAGTCTTAGATTACCTGGTCTGGAATGTTTTTGGTGGGCTATGGAAAAGATTTTTTCTAAAGACAAATTGTAGCACCGGAGGCACACTGCCGACGTTAGGAGTCGTCCAGTCGAATTGCTCAAAGAACCTAACGGGTGGATTTTGGTTTGTGGAAGGCACCCTGGGGGAAATTGCTGGATTCGTCTACTCTTTCAAAAATTTCACGAACCAGTTGAAAATGTGGACGATTGAAAATGCCATCTATAGTTTCAGATCTAGCGATCATATTATTTTGAAATAATTGAAACAGCACACGAAGGCTGCTGTAATCTGCTTTAAAAAAAAGTTATCAAAATTTCTCAAAACATTTTTTTAGGCTTCTAATTTTTTAAAAGTTTGTTCTGCTCCTTTATGAATTAGGGCTGCTTGTGGTGACAAAGTTTGCTAAGGCAGAAACCGCCAAAGTATTCATTTCAGTAAGTATAATATCTATAGACTGTGATGTCGCCTGCATTCTACCAGCAAGCTCTTGACTGGGATGGCACTCGTGACGGCACTTACCTTGTATTCTGTTTCTTGGGGGCATGCAGCGTAATGAAAAAGTTACCCAGTTTTTGAGCTACCCAGGTCTTCGAAGGGCGTGTTTATCGCACCTACAAACTCGAATCTACCGCATCTGCGATCTGTGGTATCGGCTCCCGCGGTGTGCGAGTTCATAGTGGGTTTCCATATGTCTTTGTTGCACCGAGTTAGACGTCTGTGGTGATAGTGGTTCCCGTAATATGTGAGTTCACAGGGAGTTTCTACGTGCTTACTCTGAAACTTGAATCTGATACATCCATGACCTGTATCAGTTCCTGTGTCATGTTCATAGCCAGTCATACCCCCTCCCCCCCCCTGTTCATCAGTACAGTCTAAGCTCGTTATAACAGACCTTGATTGTGACCAAGATTTCAGTCTGTTGTAAAAAAAGTACTATGTTATATACAGATATGAAGTTGAGTCAATGGTACATAGAGGAAAACCAAACAAACTTCACAAATCAGTATGTTATATCCAAATGTCTGTTGTAATGAGCTCAGACTGTAATTTCTTATAAAATTTTGCCACCCCATTTTGGAACGCTGCCCACCCGATGTTTTAACGCAGAATGTGTTACATGGCTGGCACCTAACCAGATCCAGTCAGGTGCCAGCAACGGAAGTAGAAAGGCCGACCGAACACTGACGCTCCTCTCCTCACCTATTGGACACCGGTGCCAGCCAAACCTCTTCCTTGAGTGCCTCCGTCATACTCCCAGCGAGGGTAAAACATCACATGTTCGGACATGCAGCGGCGCACCGCTCCGTGACACAAGCCGGCTCGGGGCTTTCCCAGATAAAGAACACGAGAGACAGCGACAGAAAGGCCGAGGAAAAAAATTATGCTGAAATCGCTGCTGTCACTACGCCGATTCTCGATGAAATGTGTTAGCATTTGGTGCGGGGGTCCTGACTCAATGAGGGGTGGGAATTCCAACTTTGCGACGGTCTGCACACCGTTGTGTTCGGAAAGCCAGTCTTTTCTTTCGGGTGTCGGTGGTTTTGCGGGGGGGTGTCATCGCTGCGCCTTGGTTTTATGTTGTGCTCTCCCTCGGGTAATTTCATGGCAAAGGAGATGCGGCAATTCTTTCACATCCGGGATAATGATGCCTCTGAACTGCTAGAAAATTATTTTTTTGTGAAAAAGTAGATTTTATTTTTGCCCTCAATTTCTGGAATTTGTGTAAAACCCATGTAGTTAAGAAAAACATTGGAAAAACCGGTTGCGTACCACACAAACTTAGGTGGGCGCCTTATTATCCAATAATACGGCCCACCTTAAAGTGAAATACAAGCATTGAAAGACACCATTTTTATTTATTTATTTATTTATTTACGAGTCCAAATAGGGGCTCCAAAAAGAAGAGACCTTGAAATGTCTATTTTTTTTTTGTCAACTTGGATTTGGGTGTTAGCTACAGTACTTTCTTCCTTTATTCTCTTGAAACTAATAATTGAATTGGTTACACAGTTAAATCTCGTTAATTCAAACTCGAGGGGGACCGAAAATTTATTTGAATAAGGCAAAGTTTGAATTACCGGCAGCTTCCTCCCATGTTAGTTTGAATTAAAAGAGTTTGAATTAAGAGAGTTTGAACTAATCAGAGTCGACTGTATTAGTAAATTCTAAACCCTCATTCCATTGCCTTTTCATTAGATCACTGAGTCTCTAGTTTGTGCAGAAACGGCCTTATGGAGAGCCAGAAAGAGGAAGGTAGGCAGCGGTGGCCGCAGCCTTTGAAGTAACCCGGAATTCAATCCACCTCACCTGTTCGACTTGTCCAAAACATTAGAAAAGTATTTTCTGTTGTTGCCTTTTGTTGTTTTTTAATGAGGAGCCTCTTCGGCCGTGCCTTGAGGTGCTCGCCTCGTAGGCGACACAAGCAGGCTTTCACCAGCGAGGCGTCAACGGTATGAAATGCCGCCGCAAGGTCTTCAATGCTCTCCCGAAAACACCCTTCATTCGGTTGAAGTGGACGTTATCCTGACTCGCTGTGTTTTACATAATGTGTCGTTGAAATAGGGTTATGTAAAAGTTTTGCAACATTTTCTAGCATTCAGTCGAGTGTCCTGCTCCGTTTGACCCACTAGCCCCGTGCTCCCTAGGCGGCTTAAGAAACGCGGGGTGTTGCGAGTCCCCAACATCTCATTACCGCTCCACAGCCAATCGGGTTGCGGCATTAGAATGAACAAAGCAACAAGTGGGAGCGTGCTGTCACGCCTCGTTGATACGGGCCCCATTAAGGTGTATCCACACGACGGACCGGGCCGCGGACCGATTGTTCACGTGATGCGCGGCCCGCGGGCCGTCCGGCAGCAATGAGCACCCACACGGCGGACCAAAAGAGCAGACGACAGAGTGAATGGGCCGGTATAACCCTGGACCTCACAGCTCCGCCAAACGCATGCAGCGAGCTGCTTTGAGGCTATTTGTAAGGAGCCAAGATGGAAGTTGAACGAAAGAGACGTTCGGCCGCGGTGGCCCTGGCGTTGACTATTGAGGACGAGGAGGACTTAAGTGACCCCAAAAAGGGCATGCAACTATCGTCCCACAGAGCGTGAAATACTCCATGAGCGCGATGAAGTAAAAAGTTGCATCGTCGGACCATGCCACCATCCTCTCACAACAAAAGGTTTGTCTTCTTCGTCTTCAACAGTTGGCGCCAAAAGAAGACGACTTTGGATTTGGATTCCTATCCAAACAACAAAAGTCAGCTTGTTGCCAGACTTAGCGTTTCAATTATACTAAAACACCGCGGTCCGCCGCCAAGGTCCGGGCGAGAAAAGTCACTTGGCATTTCTCAGAAGCGTGGGCCGCGGACCGCCGGCGGACCTTGAAAACCGGTGACGTAGGATCACGTGATGCGCGGCCCGCGGACCGAAACAGCAATCTGGTCCGTCGTGTGGATACACCTTTACTGACGGGGCCGTGTGCAGGCGCCACTGGCGGACGGTTCTCTCAAGCGCGGTGGAGCAGTGCAGCGCACCGGCGGTGTCCTACGTGAGCGCCACGCTGGGCCAGGAGGCGGCCTTCCTGGTGGGCGAGTGTGCCCCCACGGTGCTGAGCCACGTGATGCCCCGCCTGGCGGAGGGAGGGGCTCGGGCTGCCCTGGCCGCCAGGACCTTCCTCGAGGAACAGCTCTCACCCAAGGTGAGGGGGTCGCCTTCAGCTCTGGCCGCAGATTGCCCAGCTGCTGCGGGGTCAGCCTGGTGGAAAAGAATATCTTTATTCCCCATCGAAGCGACAGGGGAGGTTCGGGAAAAGAAGCTGAAAAATCAGCTTGACGAACTGGCCTTCTCCTCGGAGGTTAAATCAATTAAAGATCAAAAGACACTCGGTACAGTATGTACATTGCACACGGATGCTCTGCATAAAAGACAACAATAAGACGTTGATGCGTGACACATTTGAACGGAAGAATATATATAGAGCGCAACGAAACAACTCAAATAATGACTATAAATGTGAAAAAAAAAAACATTCAAGTGCCATAATTTTCGGATAGTCATATTCGCATAAAAAAAGAATAACCTCGCATCTTTTTTGGATGTAGATTCGAGCCGTATATTGCCATTATTTAAGAAATGCGACAATTCTAGAAGTTTGTTTCATCACAAGGAACTACCGTAACACGTTTTTTTGGTGCATAATGGCTTCGGTTTATTAAATGCGTAGCATTTATACGCAAACTCAATGCTGTTGCATCACGCTATAGTGGTAGTGCTCCAGGCACACTTCCGGTTTTTGAGGGTGGGCGGAAGTCGCTGTGCGGGACGGGCATTGCTCGATTGTTTTGGAAGAAACCAGACTAAAACCTGACTTCTCGTCAAAATGCCGCAACTGGGACTGTATCAACAAAGACGAAAATGGGTGAAGATCAGTTTTCACGTGTTTTCTGCCTGCTGGGTTTGTCCGAGAATGTGGGTAGGTGCTGCGAAAACGAAAAAGTAGACACTGTCTAACCGCGATTGCATGTGCGGAAAGCAGTTTGACTTAAATTCACGGAGGTTTGTGATTGCCAGATTTATTTGTTTTGTTTCAACATGAACTCGGGAAAACCGTCGGGTTGTCCAGACCACTTGCGGCCACATTCAGTATTTCTTCATGTTCAAACGGCCAACTGATTGTTCAAACTGTCGTCTGCACTTTCAAATTCGTCTGCTTGTTCAAATTGTCGCGCTTGTTCAAACAACAGCGGCCCGGAGACAAAACGTTTACCTAATAATTGCGATAAGAGGTAAATGCAGACTTTAAAGGCTTACAAGTTTGAAGGTTGTTTGGGGTAAGTAGGCTCATTGTGAACAGTAGATATAAGAAAATGGTGATTAATGAAATTAGAGTGAAAACGCAGGCAAGCTGGTGCACATCCATAATGAGAAACCTTGAGACCAGGAACAGAAGGGAGGAGGACAGCACCACCTCATATAACCAGTGCAGAAATGATTTACATAAGAACAAGCTTCTTCCTTTTTCTCTAAAACAGATCCCCACACCATGTGCAGTTCTACATCATGAGTCTTAAGCTCACCCACAAATTTCAATGCAGTCTGAAAAATTTGGTGCATGCCATCAATTATAAATAATAAAACCATGGCTCACACAAGCGACTGTGTGGGAAGCTTCATTACAAAAAGAAGGCAAACACGACACCACCCCAGGACACAGGAAAACTAGAAAGTCAAAAACACTGTTGTCTTGGACTGACGAAAAAGGAGAGGAGGATGTCGAGCACACACAAACACCGCAAGACATAAAATCATTGAGAATAAACATACATTCACTACCACACAACTTGAAGGAACTAGACACACAAAAACGCCCGTGTCTCGTCTTTCAAAGTCAGTTGCGGCATATTTGTACAATTTTCAGCTTGCATAATGCCAATAGTTTCCTGAATTATCCTCTTATAAGGTTAGTTTTCTTTTCTAAGGACAGTTGTTTGCGACCAATCTGGGAAACAATTACAAAGGCCTAGGTGTTTAACAGTTTCAGAATTGACGGAGCTTGAATTAACTGCTCTTTTATGTTCCGAAATCTGGTCATTTAGGCAGCGTCCCGTTCGACCAACATACGAGAACCCACAAGGCAATGGAATCTCGTGTACTGTTGCCACCTCGCAACTAGTTACTGGCTATCTGGTTTTTCTGGCTACCAAGCTTCCCACCGGGAAAAGGAGTTGGCTTACTTAATATGAAATCTTTTTTTAAAAACAATGTTTACAGCATAGCTTACTGCCAGAGCCTTTAAATTGTGAGAAAAGAGATGAAAGAAAGGCACACCCACCCATTTATCAGGTTTCTTTCGCGGGTTGCACGCCAACAATCTGTGTGGCACGCAATCTGTGCGACGGACTGTGGTTTCAGGGCTGACGTTAGAAAAGGCATTCTGAATGCCGACGCAATTGAAACACCTTTATAAAATGCCAGAGAAGGCCAATTTTTGTTTTCTACATTCGGTGGGGAAATGGGGGACGCTTCCATAATGCTGAGCAACACTTTTTTTGTTTTCATTGAAATACTATTTTTGTTTTGTTTACTCGAGGGAACTACTGGAGCATGAAAACAAAACTCGACACCTCACTAGCACAGTCCAAGAAGCTTTTTTTGGGTGATGGGAAGGTGTTAACTCGGGCGGAACGGCGACCAGCGTTGAGCAGCTGGCCGTCGTTCCACTTGGCTGGCGATAGCTGTTACGGGCTCTTCCCACTGCTGGAAAAGACATCCGTTGTCATCGTACTTGTAGTTGGCGTATTAGGGCTTCAGGGGGATGTCCGCCACGATATTGCCAACTGCTCAAAAAACGATGGTCCTCCGCTCTCGGGATTCGATCCTGGGCCCACTGTGAAGCAGTGGAGCTCAGTTACCACTGAGCTCCATTGCAGCTTTAGCTGTAAGTGGTCTATACTGTATAACAGACCTTGATTTTGACCAAGATTTCGGTCTGTTCTTAAGGGGGTATGTTGTAAGCAGATATGAAGTTGAGTCAATGGTTGTAGAGGAAAACCAATTGAACTTCACAAATCGGTATGTTATATCCAAATGTCTGTTGTAAAGATGTCTGTTGTGATGAACTTAGACTGTATTTTGTTCACCCTAAGCTGACAGTGCTGGGGCAGCTACGCACTCGCCGGACCCATGCACCGCCTATCTTTCGTTGCCCCTGTCTAAGCGCATGGGTATGGGCGGGGAGCGTGATTATGTGGCAAAAGATAGACGTAGGACTACGAGCACATATCTTCCTCTGCACTGTCAGCTTAGGTGTGAACGGAGTATAGGGTACTTCCACGTCCTTCTGTTTAGGGTGATGCTTCTAGTACCCAGTGCCGACAGCATGCGCTCTTTAAAAAAATACAAAGAAAAGGCCGATAAGAAATTTCCGCTGTAGCACTGTCAGTGCCAAGAGCTCGTGCCGGGAGACGCGCTTTCACGTGCACGGGACTAGAAAAGAAACAGAAGCGTGCGGAACAAAACGGTTGGATGTTATCATCCTATGCAAAGCACGCATGAAGGCACCCTAGCTTGGACGATCCTTTTCACAGTGATGTGATTGCTGCGCCAATTGCGCCAAACTGCACCAAGGGGCTAACCCTGCTACATCCTGCTACATTTAGCCAAAATATGGGTAATCTGCGCCGTGTAATCTCCTCTTACTCTCTGGAGATATTGGAAGTAATCCAGGCCCAGACACGGAAGAAACCTTACAAAAACTTTTGGTAGGTCAAAATAAGATATTCGAGGCGATTAAGGAAATAAAATTCACTCAAAGGAAGGTCGAAGAAAGAATAGGTGTTATTGAAGAAACCGTTGAATCATTCAAGAGCGTCTCAAAAAATTTTGACATTTTTTCGAGTACTATGCTCACATTGAATCAAACAGTTTCTTCACTCGAGAACAAAGTAGACGACCTAGAAAACCGAATGCGCAGAAACAATTTAATCTTTTTTGGAATTCCTGAAAATCTCAACGAAACTAAGCGGGATCTAGAAAAAGTTATCATCTCTGAGATTCTTGAAGACAAACTAGGCATTGAAGATGTTGGGGTGGAGAGGATTCATAGGATTGGAAGACCGAATAAGGGGAAATCAAGGCCTGTAATATTGAAACCTTTTGACTATAATGTAAAAGAAAACATCCTGAGAAATGCGCGGAAACTTAAGGGAACCAAAATATCAATATCTGAAGACTTTTTGATTCATATCAGACAAAAAAGGAAGCTTCTCTGGAACAGTGCTAAAGAAGACCGTGACAAAGGCGAGAAAGTCGTGCTAAGATTCGATAAGTTGATAGTTGGCAATTCTTGCTATCAGTGGGATCCCGTGAAAAACGCCCGTATTTTGATTAACTCGAGGCAACGAGACGACAGACACGTGCAATCTAACAACGAATGACAACAGTGCTCGAGATCTCGTTGGTTCACTCTTACAATGTAAACGCCAGAAGTGTAGTAAATAAAACTGCTGAACTAGAACACATGTTATTGTCCGACGATCCTGATATAGTTGTATTAACAGAAACATGGTTGCACGATAATATTACCGATAACGAAATCATTCCACCAACACATCAAATTTTCCGAAAAGACCGGGATACGAGAGGGGGAGGAGTGGCAATAGTTCTTAAAAATAATATCGATGCAACATTAATTCACGATACCTTAAACATTGAATCGATCTGGGTCAAGCTGCGTATTCATAATAGTCCGATTCTCCTCGGGGTGATCTACCGACCGCCAAATGCTTCTGAAAGCGTATTAGAAAAACTATACGACTTTGTAAATCTGCAAAGACGACGTTTTTCAAACATTGTAATCGCAGGTGATTTTAACCTTCCCAACATCAACTGGGAAAATTTAACACCTTTGAACTTTAATTGCAAGCACTCAGAACTTTTGGTTAATATGGCATTTGATAATGATTTGACGCAAATTGTTACATGTCCCACGAGAATTTCAAGTACAACCAATAATATCCTTGATCTCGTATTTAAATCTCAGGAGTTAATGGGTAAAGCGTTCACTTGCCAAGTTAGAGAGGGAATATCTGACCACCATTTGGTTTGGTGTAAATGTGCCTGAGAACTTCATACTAAAAAAGCAGACCGATTGATCAAAGTGCCTGATTACACTAGAGCGCTAGACGAAAGCATTTTAGA